CGGAGGGCGGAACAGATTAACCGGATTTACATTGAACCCTATGGGGAAATTTGCGTCAGGTAACGACCAACTCGGGATACGCCCAGAGTCACGGAACAGATTAAGTTCATATCCCGGGGTACCACTGTTGTAATATGAGGAGCTAATCACCAATTTCAGGGAATGTTTGGTTGTAGCAGTTGCATCTAAAGATGGTGAAATCAATTACTGAATCTAAGAAATGACTACTTTTTCACATGGATACATTTATTATTGGATGGCTTTGGTTATGAAATAAATGAAACAAGCACCAAACTTTGGTGTTATTTTTTAACTTAATCTCTCCCTATATATTCTGCTATAAGTAGATATAAGAGCCATATGAAGCTCTGATGATACTCTGTGGCAAAGATATGTGTTTAAATGATTTTTTCAGACTGTGCTAAGGTTTATCATATTCTATCCTAACAATTATTTAAAAAAAATTCAAAAGCTAATTATCTCTGTACAGCCTGGCAGGTCATCCTGTACCTAAACTCAAATTCCATAAATATGTCAATAAAAACTTGGGGGGGGGTTAGGTTTTGAGAATCTTTAAATATTAATTGCAACACTTTATTCTGAAACTGTCTTCATAGTACCTATATGAGTAATAAAAAAGGTGGAATTTTTATAGAACTTTCTTGATATGCAGATGTGTTCTCTTTGTTTCTTTTTTTCCTTTCTAGAGTGAACGTTTGCAATCTGATCTTGTTGTTTGCATAGTCATTGGTGTACTTTATTTTGCAATCCATGTCAGCACAGGGTTCACAGTATTACAGGTAACATTTATTTCTGCTGTCCATTTAAAAAATAATGATACACATTTCTTTTATACGTCTCCCTTGGACATTATTTTTGTTGCTCAGCTGCATAGAATAACTTGTTTTCAGGTTCATTTATAACATATTGACTCAATATATGCCTCATTTTTTTTCCTGCTTTAAGTACTACAGGGTTCATTCCAGCTAGTCCCCATTACTATCTTAGGAATTTTAAGCAAGAGAGAAAGGATATGAGCTAGCCTGAGATTTGAAATTTCTCTCATTTCTCCATGAGAATATTGTCTGCAATATTCTCAGACCAGACTGATGTGTCTGTTATATGAGCAAATGTGGAAACTCAGGATGCTAAAATGTATGATGTACTGAAATTTTGCTCTCTGAACAGTCAAGAATCTCACTTTTGTTGGTTTGTTTTTGTTTTGTCTGATACTTTGACATGCCATAAAAATGCAAATGCTGAAAGGATTATAGCAAGAAAAGTTTAGTAAACACATCAGTGGGTGGCTGAATGACAAACTTCCAGTGGAATCAGTGGTTTAGGAGTTTGAGAAGAATCTAGGTTTTACTCATCCTTATCCAGGGAAACTCACTTAAGGACACCCATTCTTTCTCGAAGGTTGGGTGAGGAGAATTAGAGGGAGTGCTCCATTTGCCTTGAGTTCCTGGACAAAAAACAGGATTTAATTCTAACTAGTAATAATAACATATAGTATAATTCTGTGCAGCATTTAAAGGGGAAATACAGAATGTCTATTGCCTTTTTTTTAAAGATAGTATCGTATTCCCTCAAACTGAGAATATATATCGAATATACAGGTAGCAGTTAGGATCTGATATGGGACTACAACATTAGGTGGTAGGGATAAGTGGAGGAGAAGCTTTTTAGCCAGAGCTGCTATTTGCAATGAAATAAAATAACACAATCCTGAAAGGGATGATTATTTTATTTTCCTGATTTTGAGATTTGCTCTTTATTCTTAAATTTTTCTTTCAGCCTGTTTTAAGTTACGTTTTGTATGCACTGGTGGGCTTAATAGGCTTTATGACCCATTATGTGCTGCCTCAGCTCCGGAAACAGCTCCCGTGGCACTGTTTTTCTCATCCATTACTGAAAACCAAGGAATATTATCAATTTGAAGTCCGCAGTAAGTAATACAATTTGCAGCAGATCATCTCTAACTAAATATTGCTTGTATTATCACTAAATATATTGAGTTTCTATAATTAAGCTGCACTTTTTAGAAAATCCTTATCTACAGTTAAATTACATGTTAGTTTTTCTTTTTGCCATAGAAACTTATTCTTATATACAAAAAAAAAAAAAAAAAGATGGTTTGGTTATTGTAGGGACTGCTCTGTTAGGGAGATGAAGGTTGAGCTTGCTAATATTCTGTACATAGTCCAGAAATATTTGATTCCATAATGTGCTCTTTGAATTCTTAGATGCCGCACATGTTATGTGGTTTGAGAAAGTTCATATATGGCTTCTTTTTGTGGAGAAGAATATAATCTATCCCTTGGTAGTCCTTAATGAGCTCAGCAGCAGTGCAAAGGCTATTGCTAGTCCAAAGAGATTAGATACAGAGTAAGTAGAAAAAGACATGCATATTTTACCTTTGTTTAATTATGCTTAGCATTTTGAAAGAAAGCATCTGTTGGGGAGCTTTGTTTCTGATTTTGTTTTCAACATCTGACTCTCCTTTCACTTCCCCATTGTTTAACCTCTCTTCACCCTCAGCACTCGAATGTTTGCTTTAGTGCCCCTCTCACAGAAGAATAGGAAGGTCTCATTCAAGCCACTGAGTTCACACCCCTCCTGAGTACAGAAATTCAAATTAAAGTAGATGGCAGATAGCAGGTTCTTCTAGAGAAAGGGAGCCCCCTGGTAATATTTTTCCACTGTGGAAGTTCTCTTACTGTTAGGAAGGGAGAGTCAAATCTCCCATTAACTCTTTCTTGCCTAAATCTTTACAAATTGTCCCACAAACTCTCAATCTATCCTTTCTCAGGTTTAGGTTTCTTCATTCATAAACCCGCCTTTCAAACACCATGTCTCTGAAATTCCAAACCTTTAGTTACTCTGCTTTCTGAAACCTACCATATTATTGGGTCAGATTGGAAATTAATATTTGTCTGACTGAATGCTACCTTTTATTTTGTCCAACTCAATGGAATATCAGAAAAATTACGTAAAAAGACTTAGAACTCTATCCATTTGCCTGTCTATCTGTCAGTGAGATGACTCTGAATCCATAACACAATGGGACCAAATCTGGTATGAAAGGACAACTTGGGCTCGATTCAGCCTGGAACTACAGAGAAACACATCCCAGGAAAAATTTCCCCAGTGCATCACAGTTCCCCACTGTGGGGAAATGGTTGGGCCAGTGGTGAGAATGTTACCAACTGCTCCATTCTTAAACCTCCCTCTTTCTTCCCATCTGCTCATATAACCCAGACTGGAGCTGCTATTAAGGGGTTGGAAAGAATTCCAGAAGCCGTGCTATGCATGCTTTCTCCACCTCTTCCTATCACTTCAGAGAGAGGCTTCAAACCCTACTTTCTACTTCTTGTTTTATAGGAATGGAGAATTTGAAGTATTAAAGAGGATTTGGTCATGGGCAGTTCTTACAGTGGAGGGAGGCAAAAAATGAATTCCCCTATTTGAGGATAGGTTGAGATAGTTTCCTCAACAAGACCTCTAATCATTTGCTTAGCTGGATAAAACTGTGTGATGGCTGGGTATGGTCCTGTTGCTCTAGCACCATCCATTTTCAGGGCTAGTTGATTTCATTCTCCAAGTATCTGTACTGGAATCAATGCTTTTAATACATTAATTATAATTAGGAGTGAGTAGTGAGCTGGTTATTTCAGCTGATGACACCAGGGTAACAACATTCAGGGTGATAAGAATGAAAAACAAGATTATGAAGAACTTCAAAAAGACCTTTCCAATTTAATAGGTAACAAAATGGCAAGTGGGGCTGATTGTAAATTACAGGTAGTCCTCGCTTAATCACCATTCATTTAGCAATGGTTCGAAGTTATGATGGCCTTGGAAAAAGCGCTTTACAACCTGTAAACCATTGCACCACCTCCCACAGTCACATGATTGTGATTTGTAACCTTTTTTATGATGGTTATTAAGCAAATCATGTCATTAAGTGAATTCAGACAAAAAAATCCATTGGGCAAGCTGGATTTGCTTAACACGCGATTCGCTTAATGATCACAGTGATTTGCTTAACGACCATTGGAAAAAGTGATCGTAAAATTGAGTCCAGTCACATGGTGACTTGCTTAACGACTGCCCCACTTAATGACCAGCTTTCTGGTCCCTATTGTAGTCGTTAAGCAAGGACTACCTGTAATGTACAGAGTTCTACACGTAAATATTGATGAGATCTGATCAATTAAAGGGCCATGGTAGATGGCTCAATAAAATTGACCCACTGGGTGTGTTCTGATTTCTGCAACTCAAAAGGGTAAAGGGACAGAACACCAAAATGGCCAGAGACTACAGCAACTCCTTTAAAAGCAGAGGTTGCAGTTTGCGGGCATTCTGGTGCTATTATACAGCCTTGTAAAGTTACACAGAGTGTAGATAAAGTGGATTGGGAGAAGCTACTTGCCTTCTCTTAATGGTATAGCTTGAGATTATTAAGTCAGACAAAATCCAGCAGGTTTGGAACAGAAGAAATAAGGATTTTTCATATTAAATCACAGAATTTGCTACTAAATTATGAGATGATAGGCACAAATTGACTTAGCTTTAAAATGGAATAAGACTAATGTATCCAAGATACAGTCTCAATGGCTACTTGTTAGGTTATGTATCTGCTACCTCCTTAGATAATCCTTTGGTCTGATCCAGCAGAGCTTTTCTTATGATGACAGGATCTTGAAGCCCTTTACCATCTCTTAACCTAATCTACTTTATTAACTGATCATTGGAATGTAATGGGAGGGAAAGAAGATTCCTATGCATCATTTTAAGAAAGGAGAAAATAAAACACTGAAGCACATGGCAGTGAAGTACTTGGCAGTGAAGTCTGATTGGATGAGTTGGTATAAAGGCATAGGTTGTTCATAGGTTGTTCATTCCAGTCGTCCAAGAAATAAATCCACCTGAATGTTTGCACTGTATTGTCTTTGAAATGTATTTATTTATTTAGTCTACATTTATTACATTTGTTTATTTAGCTTTTTCTACATACATACAACACATACAATTTAAAAACACATACAATTTATCTTTTTCTTTGGGTAAGATTAAGGCTTCACATACCCCTCGATATTGGCATGGGTATCCACAGAGGGGCAAGTGACAAAAAGCGGGTCTCGAAGTTGCAGTGCAAATTCTGTCCCTTACAGATTTGCATACTTTGTTGCAAAACAAATAGAAAACAATGGAGCTTGCATTCTGATACTAGATATATGCTTTGTCATTTTAGCATCATCATGGCCTGCTACAAATGCCTCTGGATATAGCCACATGCTAAGAACTCAAAAGAGATCCTGGGAGTTAGGAAATCTAATATACAGGACTCTTAGAAAATAAGTTGATTGAGAATAATCAACAAACTAAGCAATTAGAGAGGAGTGAGGCAAGAAGAAATTAATGGGAGAGTGAGAAAGAGAGAATTAAGCAGGAAGTTTTTTGGCTTCAGGTTGCATCTGAAATTATATTTTTCTCATTGCAGACTTGGTGCTTTAATGATTACTATAGCTGGTATGAAGTTGCTGCGCTCGTCTTTTAGCAATCCAACCTACCAGTATGTTACTATCATTTTTACAGTGCTTTTCTTTACGTTTGATTACAATCGGTTCTCAGAGACCATGCTGCTAGACTTGTTCTTCATGTCCATACTCTTCAGCAAGGTAATGTCAAATAAAGCACAGCATCACCATTCTATTCCATATCATCAAAATGAACTGGCAGGACCTGGCCTAGTGTTAACATCTCAACATCTACCAGAACAAAGGGGGAAAATGGGCTTTCTATGTAGCAGAGCCATCTTCTTGTTCAGGAACTTTTATAAAGCTCAAGCAGCCCTTTATGACACAGATTTAGTTCATATATACCAAACTCTGATTTATTTAGCCATGGTTCACTGAATAAACTACAGATGGCTGGTTTTGAGCAATACACTAAGCTATAAATTATGATTTATAAAGTACAGTGGCTGGGTTCACACAGACAACAAAGCTGAAACCAAAGTTCTTAGGTGAGCATGTCATGTGAACACAGCCAGTATTCTTCTTCAAGTGTTATTTCATTGTTTTCTGTGGGTAGTTTAGTATGATGTACGCCTTGTTGGTAATAGCTGAGAGACCAAGTAGGTTTCAGCACACAAGTTTAATAAACAAACACATAAACAGGAGTTGTTAGGCTATCCCATGTGCATTTTGTGATACTTGGGTAAATGTAGCACCTAGTCAATCTTCACTGATCTCAGAAAGCTAAGTAAAATTGGACATATTAGTTACTTGGATTACATACTTAACAGGAAATCTTATTGGCTGTAGACCAAAACTGTGAAATTAAGAAAAAAAAAGCCAGAGGAAGGCAACAGGAACTACTTCCATATTGTTGCCAAGAAAAATACATGGGCGTGTCCATGTAGTCACCAGAAGGGAAGATTGACTCAAAGGTGACTCTGCTTTTTAATTTTTTCTAGTCTTACCAATGTGAAATAAATCTTGCAATGTCATGGTATTTTTTTCCCCTCAATCTTAAAAGGGAACCCAGAAGAATTCCACTTTGTTTTGTTCTTGATAGCAATCTTTAATGGGTTTAACGGGACTTGCTTACACACAAACATGGAATGTGGTGGGTAGGTCCGTCTTGACTTTATTCTGCACATGTTTCAAGAGTATAAAATCCATGCATGATTATGCTTCTGTATTGCTGCTGCCGCTGCTTATATTTGTATATATTTTCTTCTGATTTCTTTTGTAGCTTTGGGAACTTTTTTACAAGTTGAGATTTGTGTACACTTATATTGCTCCTTGGCAAATCACATGGGGATCTGCTTTCCATGCTTTTGCCCAGCCTTTTGCTGTGCCTCGTATCCTTTTGAAATCCAAACATATTTTAATTTGATTTCCTGAAGTCTAAACCTAGTAGAGAAAATATATAGTAAGTAATTACAAAGCAAAGATGATTTTACTTGCTCATTGTTATAAGAAAAAGGGATAGGGGACTAATATCAAGCTTCATTCTACCCTGCTAATCAGGGATCTGGGTAACAATTATGGCATCCTTAACTTTACTGTCTGGTAGATTCTGCGATGCTGTTTGTCCAGGCAGTTGTGTCTGCCTTTTTTTCTACTCCATTGAACCCTTTTTTGGGAAGTGCAATATTTATCACTTCTTATGTCAGACCTGTCAAGTTCTGGGAGAGAGATTACAAGTAGGTGTTATTGAAATCATACAAGGCTTTAATGTATTGTATATTTTTAATGCATTGAAAAATAGGATATTTCTGCATGAAGTTGTTAAATTGGTTCACTCTAGAATTTAAAATAATCTTTTTAATGACTCAAAGGCACAAAAAATGTTTCTTTTCTTGATACTGACTATTCTGAATGTGTAATTTTTCAAGAAAAAACAAACTACAGAGCTTCAGATATTTCCATTTAACAAAAAACTTTTTTTAAAGGGTGGAAAAGATTTCTGAGTTTCACAGTGCAGGGGAATTAGGCTTCTGCTTTTTTCAGGTTGGCCATCCTCACTTTATCAAAATTTGATACATTTTTCTAGCAAGGCTTGCCAGAATTTAAACAACTATTATTCACTATGTTTCTCCCACTTTTTAGCAATATTTTGATTTCTTTATTCTAATGTCCTCCTAAAAATGGATTTTCAACTTAGTTCACAACAGCTATGCAACCGTAGCTGTTGCATGCCTGGGCATGGGACAGAGATGGGATTGGTTGCACTTTTGAATGATCTCTGGCAGGAATGGGACAGGGGTTGTGCATCTGTCCTTGCCTTTCTTGACATCTCGGCAGCTTTCAATACTGTGGTATCCTTTGGGATTGGCTCCATAGGTTGGGAGTGGGTGGCACAGTATTGTGCTGGTTCACTTCCTTTCTGAAGGGCCAGTACCAGTCATTGTTGATTGGGAGAGAGAGATCCTGCTCTTGGTCCCTACTTTGTGGGGTTCTGCATGGTTTGTACTCTCTCCATTCCTAATTAACTTCCATATGAAGCCATTGGGTGAGATCATCCATTGCCATAGGGTGAGGTATCATCAGTATGCTGATTATACTTAATTATATATCTCCACCCTGGGCGAATTAAGTGATGCTGTTGGTGTCTTGTCCGGGAGCCTGGAGGCTGTAGGGGTCTGGATGGGGAACAACAAGCTTCAGCTGAACCCTGGCAAGACTGAATGGCTGTGGGTTTTGGGACCTTCTGGATTAAGGATTTTACCATCTTTGGTGCTGGATGGGGTGGCACTGCCCCAAGCAAACCTGGTGTGCAATCTGGGGGCCCTTCTAGACTCAAGACTCCTACTCAAGGAGCAGGTAGCTGTTGTGGCTAGGAGGGCCTTTGGCAATTTGTGTTGTATGCTAGTTGAGCCCTTTCCTGGACCATGAGGCTCTACTCACAGTTACTCATGCCCTGGTCACCTCTAGAATAGATTACTGTAATCCGATCTACATGGGGCTGCCCTTGAAGAGTATCTGTAAGCTTCAGCTAGTACAGAATGTGACTGTGCAGACAGTTATGTGTGATCCTAGGATAGTGCACATTGGTTGCCAGTCTGCTTCTGCGTGCAATTCAAGGTGCTGGTTTTGACCTTTAAAGCCCATGGACCAGGTTATTTTGAGGGACTGCCTCTTCCTGGTTATATCTACCCATCCTATCAGGTTGAGCAAGAGGGGTATGCTGCGGGTCCTGTCTACTAAGGAGCTACATCTGGCAGGACCCAGGTGGTGTGCCTTTTCTTCTATGGCCCTTGCCCTATGGAACGTTATTCCCCCTGAGGTGAGATTGGCCCATCCATACTTGCCTTCCAGAAAGCTCTCAGGACGTGGTTTTTCCATCAACCTTGGGGTCCCATTGTGGGCCGGCAAGATGGTTGTGTGATGTTGAGTGATGGTTATCTCTCCCGCTATCTTGAGTTGTTATCTTTTTTGTTTCTCTGTTTTTACTTAGTGTTTTATGATATTTATTGTTTTTATGCATTGTAGCTGCCCAAAGGCATGCTTTGTGAGATGAGCAGCTATATAAATTTGTTCAATAAATCAATAAACAAACTTCTCTGTTTCTCTAGTCAGAAGAATAGTGATCAGTGTCCATATATGCATATGTCTCCTTTCTGAAAAAGATGGCAAGTCAAATCTGATAGGATCTGTTTTCACACCCAGAAAACATATCTGACTCAGCCTCTCTTATCAGAAAGAAGAAAAACAAATGACTGGAACTAGCAGTGTTTGTAGCACTCTTTTCAGTTCTGTAAGAGGAATGGCGTAGCAGAGAATCAAATATTTTGGAGAGTCACCAGTTGTGAAAACCCCACAGGATATACTAGCTTCTACATGAGCTTTTCCCCCTTACTTGTTTTGAGAGAAAACATGTAAAAATGAACCTTTATCTGGAAGGTAGAATGGTAGGAAAAGCGATAAAGTACCTTGTGGTGTTTCATTTCAAGGCATTTCAGGAGAACAAGTAACTCTTTTGTCTTTTTCAGCACAAAACGAGTGGACCACTCAAACACAAGACTGGCTTCTCAGCTTGACAGAAACCCAGGTAATATTGATGAAAATAGGCACATGAGGCTGTTGAGTGGATTGTGTGATGGCTCAGTTTAGTACTTTTTTTTGGTGAAAATTAAATTAACCTGAAGAAAGATAATGACATTTTTGCATCTTTGGGGTGGGGGGGAACTCTTTCTAATAGATAACTATATTGTGTATGTGTAACAGAATATACATGTTTTTATAATGTGCATTAGAATTCTGTCTTTGAGAAGTGTATTATGGAGTATAAATCTTAATAGGAGTTTTTGTTTTGTAGAGATTGTTAGCAGTTTATTTGAAATTCAATTGCAATAAATACAGGTTGTTCTTAATCATTCAGACATCTTTGCTTGTTTCATTGATCTTATCTGCAGTCTTTATCAGTTGTCTCCTTAAATAACGTGATACATACTATTCATCAACTAGTAGATGAAAATCTTTTTCTTCAGTTAAAGAACCATATTTGTCTAAGCTACAACTTCAAAGTTACAACTAGTATTTCCTGTTGCTGTGCCCTTCAATATCTATGACTATCATCTGAATAAATCTAGAGCCTTCCTTTTGATGTTCTTTTTCTCTTTTTCTAGAAAAATTGAAGTTCTGCTGCTGTCCTTATGAATTTTTTCTTTCTTTGCACATTCCCACAATCCTTATTTAAGGTGTCAGATGCATTCTAGTAACCTGTCCTCTTGGATTCCCCTTTTCAAAAAGAGTATATCCAAAGATGGGAGAAAAAATATCAAATTAACTTTTAAGCAAAGGTTAATCCTGGATGCTAGGACCTAGAGAGTACACATCTTTTATTTCTACTTTGGCTATCTTTCTATAGCACTATTGTAGAAAAAAATGGAGAAGAGAGTGCTGTGGATACTACCTTGAGTTAGTGAATGATAGGTGGTTCAACACCTGATCTTTCTCACCTTTGGGATGCCCGACCTGAAATTTTACTTTGGGCCAAGAGAACTATATTAGCACTACTAGCAGTGGAAATAATATGTCTAAAAGGCAGATGTTGATTCAGCTAAAAGCTCTTAAAGTGATAATCTATCCCAGTCTGTTTTAATACCTTGGGGTGATCTTTCAGTAGAATTATAAAATAAATTTATATTTTAGCATCAATTTAATTATATTATTTTTTCCCTTCCATGCAGGTTCTGATGACAATAACTTGAATTCAATCTTCTATGAACATTTAACTCGGTCCCTTCAGCACAGCCTGTGTGGAGACTTACTCTTGGGGCGATGGGGGAACTACAGTACTGGAGATTGCTTTATTCTTGCTTCTGACTACCTCAATGCACTTGTACACCTTATAGAGATTGGCAATGGCTTAGTCACTTTCCAGCTGAGAGGGCTTGAATTTAGAGGTAAAATCTACGTGGATGCACTTTTCATTAATCTTCCTGTACTACTTTCTGCTTCAGACTTCATAACATGCAAATTTAGTCCATTGGATTAATACACATTTTAGACTGAGGTGCTCTCTGAGTCTGGGTAAAAATAATAGAGCAGGACAGAGTTCATTTTATAATCTCAGATCACTTAATCCTTACTTTCTTCAAACACTTCAACAAAAGTTCTGTTACATGTTTTTTCATCACTGAGTTCTATTTTAGTAATTTCTGACATCTTTCCAATGAGTATAGCACTGGACTTAAAAAATCTGAGGTACGATCCAGACATCTCTGATTAAGTGAGCCATGAACTCATGGAGGTCCTTAATTACCTATCCCAGCATTTCTCATTTCTTTCCCTACTATATAACAAATACAAATCATAACTACTAAACTATTAGAGCTGTTATCATTAATGCTCCTATTTCTAAGAATTATTTTTTTTCATTTCAGGAACTTATTGTCAGCAACGAGAAGTAGAAGCTATTACTGAAGGGGTTGAAGAAGATGAAGGGTTTTGTTGCTGTGAACCTGGTCATATCCCTCATGTATTGTCTTTCAATGCTGCCTTTGGCCAGCGTTGGTTGGCTTGGGAAGTTCTAGTCACAAAGTATGTCTTGGAGGGCTACAGCATCACTGACAACAGTGCTGCTTCCATGCTTCAGGTCTTTGATCTAAGGAAAATACTCACCACATACTATGTCAAGGTACGTCTGTAAGCCAGGAATGTAGAATTGTCTTCCTCTTTACAAATGTGTAAGAAGCTGGTTTTATCCAAGCTGTTAATATCTGTGCTATCACTTGTGCCTATATATACCACTATTTTAATTATTTTCAAAAGAATAGGTGGGAATGTGCCTATGGAAAAAATCATATTGGCTAGATATGTATTGGTGAGGGAAGATGCTTTGAGGCTGAATGTGTGCATAGTCTGAACTTCAAACATAAATCTCCATCCTCCCACCCAGAGGAGCCAAAAATAATGAATACTGTGCAAACTGTTCTTCTAAATGGTTTCACATTTTGTTTGTGTAAACCATCAGATAAACTAATGCATTGGAGTATTTTCTTTTTCTCCATTTTTTTCCCTTTCCTTCACTGCTATGGTTAGGATCTGGTGAACAAACCAGCTAGGCTCAACAATTACAGAGGATGTGTTTAGTCCTTTAGTCTTTTTCTCTGTGTTTTGTAAATACTTAAAAGTTATGATCAGATGTGCATATTCTAATGCCTTTAACCTTATATCTTATAGGGTATCATCTATTATGTAATATCTTCTCCCAAGCTAGAGGAATGGTTATCAAATGAAACAATGCAGGAAGGGCTGCAGCAATGTGCAGACCAAAATTACGTTGATGTAGACCCTACATTTAATCCTAATATTGATGAGGATTATGATCATCGCCTAGCAGGGATTTCAAGAGAGAGTTTTTGTATAATTTATCTTAACTGGGTGGAATATTGCTGCTCTCAGAGAGAAAAAGTAAGTACTTTTGAATGATTAAGGAATCCTAGGAAGATATGGTGTCTTACCTCTCAAACAGTATCTAAATCCTGAAAAATAATGCATATTAAAATGTGAAAACATACATTGAGGAAGTAATTGTGCATTTGGTTAAGAAAAACTTTTTTATTTAAGGTATTTAAACTGCCCAGAGTAAATTTAAAAATGTCCCATTGTTCTAGTGAATAATGCAGCAGTCATCCACAAGCATAAAAAGGCTACTAATTTCACAGTTGGAAACAGTATCAGAGGCATAGTAACTTCAGAATACATTACATATAAACCAACTTTGAAATGGGGGGCAAATATATTTTAACTAGACACTGTTTAAGATTCTGTGGAAAGGAAGATCATTGAGAAAGCCTTCTCCATTCTTCTGACACAGAGACTTGTGATAAAGGTATGATACAGGTTAAATACCAATTTATTAGAAAGCAAATCCATTGGATTGCTCTCAGCGATCCTTATTAGCTGCCTGTCCCACGGATTACCTTACCTGCCTTTTTTCTGGGAAGGTGAGCACACTTTCAAATAAGCATGGGCTGCAACCACCAACCTTTTTTTTCCATTTTCTAAGAATATCTAAGTGCCTAAATGAATTTTGACCTAAAAGTAATTATGTCAGGCAGAGCAAGAAGGCTGGGAAATAGAAAAAAGAGGTAACCATTGCCAACATATTGCCTACCTATGTACCAAAGAAAAGATGGTTTTCCAGCATTCTGCTTACAAATAGGGCCAGTATTTCTCTGGAAAACCCACAAGGTGAGCATGTTCTTCCAAAGGTCATACTCAGAAAAGTATTGTTTTTAAAATTTGAAAATTCATTTGACTATCATAACTTGGCTTTGATACATTCATGAAGGATAGATTCAAGCTGATATCCTTCACATATTTCTGGAAATCTGCTTTATGTACTAATTATTAATTATATGAATGCTTCTTTTGTTTGTTCCAATATGCTGCCACTTCAGTTATGAACCTTGCATAATTTTATAAACCTTGGTACGCCTATTATCACTTACTAAGCTTGGTTTTCAAAACTGAAATGCCACAAGCCCTACAGCTTTTTTCAGAGAGAAAGCATTTGCCACCTTGAACAACACTGATGCCTATATCAAGCTGAAGATATCAGCATAGATTATTGATCTATGAGACTACTAGTTAGATAAAGGCCAAATAAATTAATACAAAAGTGAAGATACATTGAGTAGGTTTTCCATATAGGTGCTCTCCTAACATTCATTTAAGTAGGAGTTTTTGCAGAGAGATTATGTTGGTCTGTGACTGTAATGAAAATTTGATTTGATTTGATTTGATTTGATCTGTAGAGAGGAGGCCTTCACATGCACAGCTATAGATATTCATGCTATATGTGGAGATGTCAGGAATGTGCAACATTGGGTGTTGAACTACTTGGTAGGGTCCCACTTACATGTTGGCTTAAAGTATTTGTATTACATCTGAAGAGAATTTACTGCTACCAAGAATCTCAGAAAGTATGCATCCCATACTGGGTATTATTCCCCATGGATTTTTTTTTCCTAAGAAAGTAGGAAAACATGCATGAAACATTACAGTTTGAGTACACACAAAAACATCTTATATGCTTTACCTAATGTTTTAATTTTTTTTTCTTTCTTTACTCAAAGCCACTCAATGCAGATAAGGATTCTTCTCTGGTTACCCTTTGCTATGGGTTGTCTGTTCTTGGTCGGAGAGCTCTGGGTACTGCTTCACATCACATGGCTAGGTACTGTCATTTATTATTCCAGAATAGGTCCCTTAGAATATGTCTATACCTTTTTCCATTCCTATTCTTAAAATTTGACTTATCAGAATTGAGTAGCTAATTCAGTCTCTAAATGTGACAAATTCTGACAGGATGCTAAGCAGGAGGAGGAAGTTTATCCTGCTGCAGTTTCCCTCCATAAACATTTAGTATTTTAGAACACTTAGGTCTTGCCCTTTGGCCTCTATGTTCCTCATCTAGATGATTTTAAGAAGATTTTTTTCAATAACAAGTTGCAACTCTTTAAAATTAGTGACAGTATTGTACAATAATGATTTTTTCTTAAGCTCTTGGCATTCCCCAAGCTTGCTTTTCTCCTTCCACATTTTTCACGACCAGGCTAACTAACCTCTTCAGTGCATGGTGGAGTGAAGTTTATATATGTTAGTTTGTCCTACCTGTGTCAATTGGGGTATTTCTTTCTTCTTTGATTGTTCCTGTTTATTTAGTGCTGGTTCCTGTTTATCTGGCATTGGGTAATAGATGCAAGATGAGGAAGGATGTATTTAGATCTGTTTGCCCCTTTCTTTGATTTCTGGGTTTTTTTCCTTTTTTGAATGGTTCATAGCTAGAGCTTATCTCACTGTGTCTGTTAATGACTAATTTCTCAGAGTGCCACGGCTGCTAAAAAAATTTGCTTGCATTTTTGGATCTTTAACTTTATTACAGCCACTGACCAGCACTGAGTTGGTCTTTGAGACAAGCTCAGTCTATAAACATCTGGAAGAAGAAAAGGGAACTCAGAGAATGCTAAGAACCCATCAGTTCAACCCTGAGCTATATATCTTCTCCACTATTGCAGTACAACTTTTGTTACTATATTGTCAGTCTCCTTTAAAATGAATAATGAAATTTAACAAACATAGTGAATGACAGTAGGGAACATCAGAAATCTTAGAGTTCCCCTAATTTCAAGAACAGAATAAGTATAAAAATGATTCTGAAAGAAGTGAAAGATTCTGAGACATAGAAATAATTTGTCAGTAAATAGGCCAGATGCCTATTCAGTAAATAACTGCAGAGTACAAGGTAATGGAAGTTTCCAAACAGAACTACTGCTGTTCTCATTAACCCAAAGAATTTAAGCCACTTTTCTGCCCAACTAACTTGAGGATGATTAGTTTCCCTTTAGCATTTCAGCCACTGTTTGAATGCATAGCCAGGACAGATGAGGAACTGAAGAATGATTGTCAGTTTTGTTTTGTTTTTAACTCTCCTGATTTATATTTGTTTATGATGGCAGTCCTAATTTGCTTTGGCAGTCTGCATCGTTTATACAGAAATGAAAGTGTTACTTTTTTCAACTTATGTTAGAATGCTGAATGCTTGCTTTAATGTTTGGGGTTTCTCTCCCAAACTAAACAGTAATCTGGAATCTTTCCTGTATGGGCTCCATGCCTTGTTTAAAGGAGACTTTCGTATATCATCAATTCGAGATGAATGGATTTTTGCAGACATGGAATTACTGAGAAAAGTGGTGGTCCCTGGAATACGCATGTCACTAAAACTGCATCAGGTATAAAGACTGCTTGTGCACGTGTGCATCAGCTGAAAGTGGCATAGATTATTGGCAAGGGATCTGTTGCAATCCTCCCATTGGTAAAAGTTTGATTCTAGAGCAAATGAAGCTCTTGAAAGGGGAGTCATTTTGTAGTAATGTGCAAGGAAAATGGTTAATGGAGAAAACAGTGCCAAAAAACACAGCAAAAATTATCTCAATGTTATACTTCAGTAAATGGTGCTTGGTTCACATGTGTATTTGTATACATAATAGACATATATGCAAAGAATGATGCTCCAGTACATTGATAAATAAATGGATATTGATTGGCAATACCATTCTTTGTCAGTTTATTTAGGATATTTTATCGAGGAAAATATTTAACTTCCAAGAAGTAAATTGGCTTTGAAAAATGTTCAGTCATCTGTTTAAAGTGGATTTATTTTCACAAATAGCTTTATAATTATGGATACATAAATTGTGTGTATCTGTTTTACTATCCATATTAGCAGGAGCAGCAGTTTAGTCTAGAGTGTATTTTGAATGGGTGTTTTAACAGATCTGTTTGTTTTTTTTAAACAGCTGCTATTTTCCTTGCAAGATTATCTCATATAAGAAAGAGCATGGTACATGGAAACAGCTAATTTGGGAAAAATGGTTGGAATTAAATGGAGAAGGGAAGAATTGAGCATCTAGGAATTGAAGAGAAGCAGGCTATGCCTTGCAATGCCACTGAGTGCAAAATTCTCTGGTATTGCTGTATCAAATTTTCCCTGGTCTCCATTTGGTTATTTTCCCATTTTTTAATACCAAACTTTCAGAAGCATATATTCTTTTTTAGATGCATTTCTCACAAACAGGTACAATTTTTACATCTTTTTGACAAGAGAAAAACTATGTTAGTTAACTGCATTTGGTATTGCCATGGTGCCAAATCTCACAAATCCATACCTGGAGAAATCCATGGCTGAGTTCTTTTACATCTCAACTTAAAACCTAGACTGTGATCTATGAATTCTTATACAATAGTAAATTTGTAGGGAGACAGACTACTCTTCATTGTTTAGATGTTTTTGTTAATCTGATAACTTGATGTAATCTTAAATAATTGTTGAGATTGGCAAGATATAAACTGTGAGTCTATAATTTTAGCATAGGCTAGAATATAATAATTTCCCTTTTCACAGTGAAGGCTCATATTGAACAGTGCTTTTACTCTTCTGCTTAGGATCATTTCACCTCTCCAGATGAATATGATGATCCTGCTGTTCTCTACGAAGCTATCACAACACACGAACGAAACCTAGTTATAGCTCATGAGGGGGACCCTGCTTGGAGAAGTGCTGTACTCTCCAATTCTCCCTCCTTACTTGCCCTTCGCCACGTGATGGATGATGGCACCAATGAATACAAGATCATCATGCTGAACAAGCGCTATCTGATCTTCAGAGTCATTAAAGTAAGATGCTATTAGTGGGGTGGATGAAACCACATATTTTAGGAGGAGATGTAATAAGTGGAGAGGATGGGCATTTATTACTTGATAGTGTGAAATTGGTGTTTTGGCTTTTGATTCCTTTTTACATGCTGTGATTTTGCTAACCAGTTCTTTTAAGTTAAATTGTTCTAGGTTTTTTATGCTTTAATTAAAGAAATTTGCAGGACTTGCAGACTAGGCAAAAAGCAATTACATTTTATTTTTAATTTCAGAATTGGGAGAGGTGTAGTGTAGGCATCTCTCTCACTACCTTGCTACATCCTTCTTCCTACAGCACACTGATACAGTTTTTATATATTTCTTGTACATAAGTAATTTTTCAATCAATAGCAGAGTGCAAACAAATGAGAGGAAGCAGTAGAAGCAGGGAACATCCTGATGACATATTAGCAGCTAAGATGTTGAGCTATGACTCACAGCACTTAATGAGATATAGGCACTTACCAAAAGTCTTAAGAAGTATAAACAGGAAGTTTTTTAAACAATGTGTATTTAGATAAATGTCTTAGTTGAGCTCCATCTGAGAAACTTAACCTCTTCAATAGTGGGGAAAAGATCCAGTAATGCTGAGGATGCATCAGAATAACAAGGGAAAAGCAGGGAAGGAAATTCAAGGGTAGAAGAACAAAGAGGAAGAAAATATGGAGGTAGACTTGTCCTTTTCTAAAAACCCAAGTGTGCCATGAGTAAAACAAAGGAAACGAGAAGAGACTTTTTTTAAAAAAAGTAACAATAGCAGAAAAGCAACAAAATTAATAGAGAATTACAGGAATATAAAATTTCCATAACAGAAAATGCTGAGGTTGTTTTCTTCTGTTACTGGTATTATTTTAACCTCCTTTTATATAGAAAAATGTAAGCTGCTTAGAATGGTGTGTGAATTGGAACAGCATAGAAGTTGAATAAATAAATAAATAAATATAATATATGCATGAATGCTTTCCATAAAGTTAAATACAGAGGCTATAAGTTTCTGAATTAATTAGTTAATTAATTTTAGTTAATTATTTAAAAGGTAAAACTTTAATGTACAGTTTTAAGGGTGTTTAAATCTTGAGGGTATTTATAATTAGGACTGAAGTGTGTATGTGTGTGTGTGTGTGTGTGTGTGTATCCTGTTTTCGATATGCATTTTTAAAAAATGGTTGTAATTTCAGACCACTTTTGTAGTAGTAGGTTTATTTGGTAAAATCAGCAGTGAATATTTCATCTCTGCTGATTTTACCAAAATATTTCATCTCATGCAGTTATAGCTACTCTGTAGACTTATGCATTTTGCTACACTATTTTTCTACATATCTTCCCTGTTTCTGTGTTCTTGCAGGTAAATAAGGAATGTGTGCGCGGCCTTTGGGCTGGGCAGCAGCAGGAGTTGGTCTTCTTGCGCAATCGAAACCCAGAAAGAGGGAGCATCCAAAATGCAAAACAAGCTTTGAGGAACATGATTAACTCATCTTGTGATCAACCTATTGGATACCCAATTTATGTCTCACCTCTGACTACTTCTTATTCTGATAGTCATGAACAGCTGAGAGAGATTCTTGGTGGTGCCATCAGTTTGGGAAACATCAAGAACTTCATAGTATCTACATGGCACAGGTGAGTTTAAAAAGTCCCCAGAGTACAATTGCTCATATTAGTATATTTAATTATAATGGTGCATTATAAAGTTTTGTATTTTATCACTTTCCTCTTACGATGCCAACCCAAAGTAAGATTCCTGTTAAAACAGGGATATTGCTTTTATTACACACGTGGAAAGACCATTCCAGTACGTTGTCAAAATTGAGTTTGGCAACAGGCACTTTAATTTCAGTTGTATTATTTACCTACTGCAAACATTATCTATGGATAAAATTTGCTCTGTGCAAAACTCTGTTCCAGGCACAGAACTCTCAATATTCCCTGGTACATCCCATTTTTCTCCTGGAATTCACTGTTCCATGGGTGATTTGTAAGTTTCTGGAAGTAAATTGAGTAATACAATCTCTCCTGTTTTGTTTCTCCCATCCCTATAGCAGCACCCAATACAGCTGAGAGAACTGGTGTTGTCTTGATTAACTTTTGGACCAGGCACACTTGCTCAGCTTTATTTATCTCAAGGAACTGTTGTGAGGTAGAACAATGCAGTGATGGAGAACTATATTATGTCATCTTGAATTCCTGGAAGAAAAATAGGATCTAAATGTAAGATAAATAAATATGAAGAGAATGGGTCAAGATATGAGTTGTTACTTTGGAAGATTCTGATAGAATCTGTTACCTGCTTTCTTTAGTCTGCTTGCTATTGGTTTTTTGTTCTGTTCAGATTAAGAAAAGGTTGTGGTGCTGGCTGCAACAGTGGAGGAAACATTGAAGACTCAGATGCTGGAGGTGGTGCTTCCTGCACAAGTAACAGTGCAACTGTCAATGATTCTCAGAGCAGTGTATCCCAAGGAGGAGGGAATGCAACTGTTGGACAGGGATCTGGAGTAGGACTGCATCCTCCCATCACATCTCATCCTGTCACCCTAGGTAAAACTGAGCTAGTGTATGAAAGAGTATACATTCAAATATCTCACTGCCAGACTGGGAGCATTAGCCTTTCAAATGTTGATTTTAACTTCCATCTTCTCATCAGCAATTGTGTTTAACAATGTTTGGAATCTACAGGTCCCGTACACTCATCCACCTTGCAGCTTTAGTGATTCTGTGGAGAGTAATAGGAAAGATAGAGTGTATTTTTTCCTATGAAGATCAGCACACATATAAAAGACCTAAAAATTACCTTCTAAATTCTTGATATCATGGAGCTGCATGTATTCCTAAGTGCTTTCTCAAACCAATCCTAAAATAACAGTTTGGTAGAGATAAAATCAAAGCTGGACTCCAACTTTAGGGCAGAGCTTCTGGAGATGACTGAGACTCAGATGCTCTGGTTATCTGAAATGGGTTTGATCCGGTTGGTCCTGATGATATGGACAAGAGTTCTTGGAACTGTTACCTCGGTCACCTGTGTGTTGGAGCCATGCTCCTGGTTAGCCAAGGTTTCCTGGGCGGTGACATGTGGCTGGATCCTGGCGCTGATGAATTCATCATTGAGTGAGGGAGTGGTCTTGTCACTGCTTAAAGAGGCAGTGGTTTACCCCCTCCTCAAGAAGGCATCACTGGATTCAACCTTTTTGGATAACTTTCATTCCATCTCCAATCTTCTTTTTCTAGGGAAGGCTGTTAAGGAGGTGGTTGTACAGCAGCTTCAGAGAGTCCCGAAGGAAACAGATTATCTTGACTGTTTTCAGTTGGGTTTTAGACTGGGCATGAGACCAAAACAACATTGATAGCACTTGTGGATGACCTCTGGTGAGAGGGATGGGGGTGGTATGTCCATCCTGGCTGTTCTTGATCTCTCAGTGGCCTTCAATACCATTAATCATGGTATACTTCTAGACCAGCTCCAGGAAGTGGGAGGTACAGTTTCGCACTGGTTTCCCTTCTTTCTTCAGGGCCAATTCTGGTCAATGTTGATGGAAGGGTGGGAGAGATCTAGCCCATACCCTTTCTTCCCTCAGGGCTCACTTCTCTCCCCATTCCTATTTCTCATCTACATGAAGGCATTGGGCAAACTTATCCATGGGGGATACTGGGCATGGGGTGATACTAATAGCATACTGATGATACCCAGCTTTACATCTGCACCCCAAGTGATGCTAAGGAGGTTCTGTCTCAGTGTCTGGAGGTTGTGGGATCTGGATGGGGAGAACAGGCTTCAGCTCAACCCTGGCAAGACTGAGTAGCTGTGGGTTTTAGGGCCTCCTAGATCCAGGGTTTTTCCATCTTTGGTTCTGGTTGCATTACCCCAAACAGATCCAGTGCACAATTTGGGAAGTTCTTGACTTACAGCTCCTGTTCAAAGAACAGGTGACAGCCATGGCCAGGAAGACTTTGTTTTGTGCACCAGTTTTGTGCACCAGGAAGGCACTGCTCATGGTCACTCATGCCTTTTGTCACCTAATGAGTAGATTACTGCAATGCGCTGTGCATGGGGCTGCCTTTTATTACTATCCAGAAGTTGCAGCTAGTCTAGAATACAGTGATGCAGGCAGATATGGGCACACCTCAGTACACCCATATTACACCTCTGCTCCACAAGCTGCACTGGCTTCCAGTGTGCTTCCAGATGGAATTCAGGATACTAGTTCTCACCTGTAAAGCCCTCAGTAGAATGTAGCTAGGTTATTTGCAGGATCGCCTTACCCCAGTTGTTTCTACCTGTCCCACTAGGTCTGACAGGAAAGGCATACTCCTGTCACTTCAATTAAAGAAGGTTATGGGACTTTGGAAGCATGCCTTTTCTGTCATAGCAGCTGTCCTCTGGAACACCATATTCCCTAAGACCAGATTGGCTCCAACCCCGCTGGCCTTCTACAAAGTGCTAAAACTGGAATGTGCTCCAGAGCCTCAGGGTTGGGAGGTTAGATGGCTCTTTGAGTAGTTTCTGTTTATTATCTTATTGGGTCCATCCTTGGTGGCCATTCTTGATTTTTCACTTTGCTAATGTTATTTTTATTGTTTTAATGAATTGTTAGCCATTCAGAGTCACATTGAGATAAGGGCCATATACATCAATTTAATAATTAATTAATTAATTACCTTATACTATATTTGCATTTCATTACCCAGCGAAAGATCTAAATTTACTTTGCACATTATGTCAAGGCCACCTTAAACAGTTTCTTTTGGTTATTTTCACCACATGTGAAGTTCTTTGTAGCAACTCACCAAATGAATCAATCAGTTGTATCTATGCCTTACCCCTCCTCAAATCATAATAACAAAAAGTAAAATGTCCAGAATAAATAAATTCCTGATTACATGGTGAAAGCTGTCATACAGAGCAATAATAAACAGATTGTATCTGCCAGTTATTAAGAGTACCAGCTATAAAAGAAAAAAAAATCTTAAGTTCGTTATGGAAGAAGTTGAAGGGAGTCCTATGTAGTTATTGGACATACTTTCTCCAATGTATGTGTAATAGGCATTGCTGCTTCTAGAAGGAATTGATCCAGAATTTAATTTGAATGTTAGTCAACATCCAAACCAATAGCTTTTTCAGTTTTCCATTCAGTTTTAGTTCAATGGAATTGTACAACAAAAGAATAAACAAAACTATAATATATAATATAAACTTCAATTTATTCTTTGCTCATGTGTTTTATTTTTAGGCACCAGCCAGAGTGCTCATTCTGTGCAATCAAGCCTTATCAGACATTCCCCTGCTCGTGCTTCAGTTGCCAGCCAGTCAACCTATTGCTATAACAGTCGTCATTCATCCCTCCGGACATCCACCACAGGCTTTGTGCCTTGCCGACGCTCTTCCACCAGCCAGCTTTCCCTTCGCAATCTTCCATCATCCATACAGTCCCGTCTGTCCATGGTGAACCAAATGGAATCGGCTAACCAGACTGGTGTTGCCAACACACAGCATGGCCTCCCTTCTTCAAGCAGTTCCAGTCAGAGCATCCCAGCCTGCAAACAACATGCCCTTGTTGGCTTTTTAGGGACTGATGGAATGACAAATGTCACTGATTCACAGGCAGGCACAAATGTGAGCCCTGTGAACCAGACACAAACCAAAAGGGATGATGTTGTTTACAGAATTCAGGTAGATAAAAACATAGGAATAGATCTGGTTTTTATCCTCTTTGTTATCTAATGACTATTTTTATTGCTAGTTACATCTTTAATTCTTAAATCATCTGTACATTTCTGGAATGCAACACTGTGGAATGAAAAACTAATTCTTAATGCACAGTTCTTCAGATGTAATACATCTTAACAAGCTGGTATTCTCTAGGGTTGTGCTGTGCTTTGGATACACTTCCAAAATGGCACTTCAGAGTATATAGGAAAGAAAGCCTTCTCTAAAGAGCAGACAATGAATAAGGCAAAGTTATGTACAGAGAATACAGACCTTTGTATTACAGAAAAATATGGTTTAAGTTAAGCATTAAAACTGGTTCACCAGCTCTCTATAATGTTACAGCAATGCTGTTATATGGAATATATAAATTAAGCAGTTACTTGTTTCTTTTTTACTCCATGTTTCAGTATTTTTACATTGAATAGGTTTGCTTGTCTAGTGTTGACTTGAAGTCCAAGCCTGATGACCCAAGTTTGGAAACTGAGAAAAGCATTAATAGGAATCATTGAGTTATATCATCTTTCCTCTGTGTTCTACTCAATCTAGTTGTAGGAGTATGAAACCTGTGGCCCTCTAGATTTTGTTGAAACATATCTCCCTTCATCTCTTATTGTGCTATCTATGGTTTATAAGGTTTGGAATCCAATGACACCTGGAGGACCACAGGTTTCTTAACCATGCTTCAAATGAATAGCTGCATAATTTTTAAGGAGGGATATGCAAAACATTTCAAATTGAAAATGTTTTTTTTAAAAATATT